GCTGCAATTAACATAGGGTACAGATGTCCTTTCAAATTAGTGTTCTACATTTCTTCAGATAAATACCCAGAAGTGGACTTGCTGCATCATATGCTAGATCTATTTTTAATTTTTTGAGGGACCTCCATATTGTTTTCCATAAGTGGCTGCATCAATATACAATCCCACCAAAAGTGAATGAGAGTTACCTTTTCCCCACATCTTCACCAGCACTTTTTTTGTTGATTTATTGATGATGGCCATTCTGACATGTGTGAGGTGATATCACATTGTGGTTTTTATTTGCAGTTTTCTAATGATTAGTGACTTTGAGCAACTTTTCATGTGTCTATTGGTCATCTATATGTCCTTTTTGGAGAAGTGTCTTCAGGTCTACCCATTTTTTAACCATATATTTTTTGGTGTACGAGTTCTTTATATAGTTTGGACATTAACCCCTTATTGACTATCATTGGAAATATTCTACTGATTAGTAGGCTCTCCTTTTGTTTTTTTTTATGGTTTCCTTTACTATGCAAAAATCTTTAGTTTGATGTAGTCCCATTTGTTTATTTTTTCTTTGGTCTCCCTTGCCTGAGGAAATAGTTACTAAGAGTAGTATCAAAGACTTTCTTGCTTATGTTTTCTTCTAGGATTTTTATGGTTTGGGGTCTTATATTTAAGTATTTAATCCATTTTGAGTTACATGGTATGAGAAAGTTATCCAGTTTCATTCCTTTGCATGTGTCTGATTTTCCCAACACTATTTATTGAAGAGACTATCTTTACCCTGTTGTATATTCTTGCTGCACTAGATGAATTGACCATAGAGTCATGGGTTTATTTCTGGGCTCTCTATTCTGTTCCATAGATTTAAGTGTCTGTTTTTATGCCAGTACCATGCTGTTTTAATTACTATAGCCTTGTATTATAGTTTGACATCAGGTACTATGATAAATCCAACTTTGTTCTTTCTGAAAATTGTGGTGGCTATGTAGGGTCTTTTGTAGTTATATATATTTCAGGGCTATTCTAGTTCTTTGAAAAATGACACTGGTATTTGATAGGGATTGCATTGAATCTATACATTGCTTTGGGTAGTATGCACATTTTTACATTGTTAATGTTTCCATTACCTCTATCTCCAATTTTTTTCTTCAATGTCTTATATTTTTCTGAGGACAGGTCTTTTACTTCTTTGGTTAAATTATTTCTAAGTATTTTATTCTTTTTGATGTAAGGCTAAATGGGATTTTAATTTTCTGATAGTTGTTGGAATTAAAAATATAACTGATTTCTGAACATTAATTTTTATATTATACTACTTTACTAAATTCATTTAATAGTTTTTTAGGGTCCTATGTAGTATCATGTCCTCTGCAAATAATGAGTTTTACTTCTTATCCAATTCAGATACCTTTTGTTTTTTACTGATTGATGTTGCTAAAACTTCCAATAACATGATGACTAAGAATGGTGAAAATGGACATCCTTGTCCTATTCTTGATCTTAAAGAAAAAGCTTTCAGGTTTTCACCATTAAGTATGATGTTAGTGCTGGGTTTGTGATATATGGCTTTTATTATGTTGAGGTATATAGTCCCTCTATCTCCACTTTGCTGAGTTTTTATCATAATTAGATGCTGATGTGGATTTTGAATTCTTTATCTATTGATGATTTTTATCCTTCATTTTGTATATATGGTGTATCATGTTAATTGATTTGTGGATATTAAAGCAATCTTGCATACCAGGAATAAATACCACTTGATTATGGTGTAAGATCTTTTTAATGTATTGCTGCATTTTGTTTGCTTATATTTGAGGGTTTTTGCATCCATGTTCATCAGGGAAATTGGTCTGTCTTTTTTTTGTAATGTCTTTGTCTGGTTTTGGAATCAGGACAATGGGGGCCTTTCCTCTTCTTCAAGTGTTTTAGTTTGTAAATAGTATGTATTAATTCTTTGAATGTTTGGTAAAATTCACCTGTGAAGTCATGTGGTCCAGGACTTTTGTTTGTTGTTGGGAGTTTTTTGATTACTGATGAATTTAGTTAGTAGTGATTAGTCTGTTTCAATTTTCTTTTTCTTTTTGATTTGGTATTAGAAGAGTGTATGTTTCTGGAAATGTATTCATTTTTTCCAAGTTATCCAATTTTGGGGCATATAATTGTATGTAGTATTTCCTGATGGTCTTGTGTGGGACTCTGCTTCCTGGACTTATATGTCCATTTTCTTCACCATATTTGGGATGTTTTCAGTTATTATTTCTTCAAATAGGTTTTCAATATCTTGCTCTCTCTTGTACTTCTGGTACCCCATATGATGAAAATGTTATGCTTGATAATGTCCCAGAAGCCTCTTAAACTATCCTCATTTTTTTTAAATCCTTTTTTAATTTTTGGTTTCCTGATTATTTATGCTCCCTTGTCTTCCAGGTCATTGATTTGATCCCCTGCTTCATCTAATCTCTTTATTCCCTCAAATTTATTCTTCATTGCGATTATTGTATTTTTCATTTCTGACAGGGTTTTTTTTTTTGTGGTTTCTATCCCTTTGTGTAAGCTCTCATTGAGTTTATCTTTCATCCTCTGAGTTCATTGAGTATCCTTATAACCAGTGTTTTGAACAGTGTGTTGGTAGATTGCCTCCACTTGGTGTAGTTATTTTTCCGGAGTTGTGTCTTGTTCTTTCATTTTGGACATGCTTCTGTCTCCTCACTTTGGCAGCCTTCATGTGTTTGTTTCTACACTTATGCAGATCAGCTATTTCTCCCAATCTTGGCAGGATGGCCTTATGAAGTAGGTGTCCTGTGGGGCCTGGTGGCACAGTCTCCTAGTTACATGAGTCTCATTCTCTTTGTTTGGGTTGTGTACCCTGCTGTTATAGTTGAGTCTTAATTGCTATTGGTACATCAGTGGGTGGGATTGACCCTGTAGCTTAATGGCTGTGGGGACTGGCCGTGACTACACTGGATGAGTTGTGTGGGTGCTGATTCCACAGAGAGAATGTTGCTTTAGTGGGGCTCTGGTGCCTGCCATGTCTGTCCTTTGGAGATGCCAGTTGGGTGTTGCTATAGTATGGCTTGAAGCTGGCCACTGGGTATGTTGTTTTGGGGCCTTCTGGGTGAGGCTTAGTTATAGACCAACTTCACTGCCTGTGCCTAGTCTGAGGCCAGGTGGTAGGAGCTACACCATGATCTACAGTTGTTTACCACCTCTGCTGTGCTTGCAGGTGCCTGGGAGAGGCTATGCTGGGAACCCAGGCCGGCTGCCACTAGTGCTGTGCTTGGGGCTGCTTAGGAGGAGGAAGATGGTAAAGTGTGGATATCTGGTACTTTTTTGTAGCTTGTGGACCTTTGGAAAAATTTAGGAAAATCTGCAGTGCAATCCAGGCAGGCTGCTTTTGTATAAGAGCTGCTGAAGGAGGTTCAGTCTGGGTGTGTGATTTGGGTGGAGTGGAGTCCCATGGAATTACCAGAGTAGGGCAAACAGTGTTACCTAGGTTAACAGAGTTCAGATTTGGTGTCCACCTGTGCCTGGGTTGGAGGGAGGGCTCAACAGCATCTGCAAGCACTTCTACCCCCCCCCCCCATAGAGCTGCCCTAACCCTAAAAGCTACAGCTTTTTTAGTCCTTGCTCTAAAGTTATTCAGTTTGTTTCCTTGTATGTTCCTGATGCTTTTCAAGCTACTACCCCTGTGCTGGAGCTTAGAGCAAGTGAATTTGTGAGCTAGGGAATCTGTGATTACTGTATTTTTGAAGTATAATATGCACAGCCCTCCCAATTTTGGGAGGAATAGTGGCTGTTAATGTTGCTGTCGAGTTCTGTTTACATTTACATTGGTGAAATATTTTACATTTTGTCTTTCAAAAAATTTTTTCCTAGTTTCCTCTAAAAACTAGGTGCATCTTATGGTGTGCAAAACATGGTAGGTCTTTTGAGATCTATAGCACATAGGTCTCTAGCAGCCTGTTGTCTTTCTTGGACACAGTCCCTGTGGTTTTTCATAGCCAGATGTTATGAGGACTCTTCTCTCCTCGGGGCAGACCTCCACAGCCGGGATACTCATCCTGATTCTTACTCGCCACACAGAGTGAGACCTGCATCTCCGCTCCTCCTGCCAGTCTCAATGGGGCTGCTGCTTCATATTCTTAGTTATAACAATTCAGCTCAGCTAGTCTCCAGGTGGTTCTCAATAATGGCTGTTCTATAATTTAGTTGTAATTTTGATGTGGTTATGGGAGGAGACAAGCACAGTGTTTACCTACTCTGCCATCTTGAGCAGAAATTCAATAGTTTTTTCTTTAACTGACCTGAAAATGGACTCATCACAAATTATTGTTCCTTTCCCAATACTGCTCACAATCCCGACACTCCACTTTACCCAGGGGCCATTTGGCATAACTTATCCTGTGCTTATCATGGTGTAGGACAGGAGTTAAAGCATCACAAACTTTGAAATAACTGGCACCAAGTGCTATGGGGAAAAATTTCAAGTCACAGTGGATCTTTTATGTCAGTGCACTTAAAAACCTTCCTCTGTTTTCAGGTTATGAACTTATGAAAATTCTGGCCATAATTCAGATATAGGGGAACCCTGGTTTCAAGGGTAAAGGGCACCTGCTGGTGATAATTAAAAAGTGATACCTGTGTGGTCCTGGGGATGTGGTCAACCAACCCTCTCACCCCAGTGTTGTGTGGTGGGAATCGGCTCTGGTCAGGAAAACCTCGGACACAGAGCCTGCCCTGCCACACATCGGAGAGGCTATGAAGATGCAAAGTCACCTGAGATGCTCCATGGAAACGAGAGCCTAAGTGGTGTTCTTTCAGTGCCATTGCATGCCCAGTTCTTTCTGAAGCCTCTCTGGGATTCCTAATAGTTGTGGAATGACCATACGAGGTCAGTGATGTCATCCTTTTACAGATGGGGGAAGTAAGGCCCATAGAATTTCACACCTGCCCAAGGCCTAGAGCCCAGATATGAACAGCAGCATTCTGAATCCACTTTCTCCCAACCACAGCTCTGTTCTGCCTCTTGTCAACTTCTAGAAGAGGAGCCATTCAAAGGAAGACAAGGAATAAACACAGGGGAATGACCTTGCCAGGTAAGACTATTCTAAATACATACATAGTTTATTTTCCTAACAGTCCGAAGATGTATAGAACGACAATGGCTCAAAATCATTTTTCTACATATGTATTGTTTGCATAAATATAGGGACAAAGTTTATGGCCCCCTTAATATGAATTATAACGAGAGTCATAGTTCACAAAATGTTGGAGTTGGAATGATTTAAAGTCATTCATTGTATAGATGGGGAAACTTAAGGTAGAGAAGTGAGGGAACTTGGCATTTGCCAAATTGTCAAGGGCATGGAGTTCAGAGGGTCCCAACCCTGCTGTACAGAGAAGCATTTGAGAAACTCCTAAGAATGTTCATGCTCAGACTCAACCCCAAGACCAAAATAAGCCTAGTCTTTGGGAAGGTGTGAGGTCCTGGCATTTTGGTTGAGAACCACTAGTGTAAAGAAAGAAAAATGGATCCAAAGTACCTGCTTCTGTCATTAATTCTTATCTTCATGGGCTTAATGAAGATTTAGCTACCATTTGATTGTTCTTAAGCCGAATGATAGAATGGCAGTAAGCTGTGGTATCTCCATGAGAATTTATATTTATGCTGTTATTAAAAATGGAGTTTCTAAATACTTTGGAAAACATAGGATTATGTTTATATCTAATAGTGCAAAAAGCAGAACACAAAATTCCAGGTGCATATGGCAAAAGATGGGAAAGAAATACATGAAAAAGTAATGGGTATGGGCTATATATATTGTATAATTCCAAATATATGACATTCTGAAAATGACAAATCTATAGAAGAGTAAACAATGAGTGCTCTTCAAAGACCAGGGGGAGGTAAGGATGACAGTGGAGGACGGAGGATTTCTAGGGCAGTGAAACTGTCCTGTATGACACTACAGTGGTTGCTACACATCATGATACATGTGTCCAAACCTACAGAACATACAACACCCAGAGTAAACCCTAATGTAAACTGCAGACTTGGGGTGATAATGGTGAGTCAGTGCAGGTTCACTGACTGCAGCAAACGCACCACGCTGGGGTGGATACTGATGATAGGGAAGGCTGTGCGTGGGCCTGAGTTCAGGGGATGTATGGGAGCTCCCTGTACTTTCTGCTCAATTTTGCTGTGCATCTTCCAGTGAGACTATAGGTGAGTTATCCCTTCTTGCAATGAAAAATATCCTAAAACCAAAAAATAAACCCACTGAAGACATAAATTCAAGATGAATGAATACCAATGACATATCAGGCATGGCCTGACTCACCCCTGTTCGTTTCTTTTTTAAGTGGAAATATATTATTAAGCCTTAAAGTAGAAAGACTGCACTTTGCTTAGAAGATGAAAATGAGCAGTTGTACTCACCATCTTTGCAGATGGCTCCCATTTGACACATTCCTAAGTCTAGGAGATACCCACTGGGGCAGCTTGTACAGTTCTTAAACCCTGGACCATTGCACGTCAAACAGCTGGTATCACATCTATGGGGCAAATGCAGAATTTATCATCCTTTCACACATCAGGCACAGGAAAAACTGTTTACTATCAATCTCTTATTGTCTTAAGCTTAAATGTCTTAAGCTTAAATCTCTTTGAAAATGGCACAAAAATCTTTTAATAAAATAATTCCTAGGATGGCAACATTCAAGAAAACCTAACAGGTAGACAGTGTGAATTGAAAGGTTTTAAAGTCCCCCTGAGGCAAAAGAAAAATTGATAATGATATATCATATATCAATATATCAGAGATCTCTGATATCTCTCATATCAATATATCAGAGATAAACTGGGTTTAAGCTGCAAGGCAGTTTCCATAGGTAAATGTTTGAACCTCATTTTATCATTAAAACTACGTTTCAGAGTATTTATGAAGGCAGTCAAATAAGGAACCCAATAACCAAACGCTAGGGCTTGAGGGGTACATGCACTCACTTTTTGCAGGATTTGTATCCATTCTCTGAGGAGTGGTCGGAATAATAGCTGATGCTACAGCTGTGCACACATCTCCCATCCTCCATGAAGTAGCCCTCTGTGCAGTTAATGCACCCATCAGCACCTGCCCCTTCAAAGCAAGACAAACGCAGGAGACAGAAACAAAACCTCAGAAGTGGCACGATGGGCTGCTTCTCACAGTTTGTGAAAATGCCATTAATATGTTGTAATTTTGAGAGTTATAATATTTGTGTTTTTCTTACATTCTTTGGAAAAAAAAACAACCCCCCTCCATTTCAAGTTGAACCCATTTTCCAAGACCATCAAATCTTTTGGGAAGAGAAGGAGGTATCACTGGGGTATTTAGGTTTCTCAATGAGGATAGGATGCTGAGGACTGACTTTCAATGAGAATACATTTGTGCTTATTGGAAGAGAAATAAACTTCTCTAGCAGCTACTGTAAAAAATACCAAGTAAGTCTGCATGAGTGATGGTTAAAAAGAGGTCAACAAAAGCTAAACCAGAACAGAGGAATAGACAGAAGGACTGGGGGAGAAGGTACCAGCACAAGTGGCGCAGAAGCGGTGGCAGGGCTGGCAGTCCTGGCCATTGAAGTACTGGCCATCCTCACACGCGATGGAACACCGGGACCCCTGCAGGCTGAAGACATAGACACAGACTGCTGTCATCCGGCAGAGTAGTGACTCCCCAGTTCCACCCGTAACAAATACAGCTCCCCCCAGACACCTGTGGGTTTGGCAAAGCTTCAACATGGGGGAAATAGCCCTTGTACCTTCTAGTTTTTGCCTCTTGATGCCACAGTGCTTCACCATAATGATGTCTGCATCACATGCGTGCAGGTTTGGGGACATTTCTCTGAGTTGTTTAACTGCCCGACACACCTTACAACCCAGGATTTTAAAAAGTATTGTATGGACAAAACAATTGCATTACCCAATAACATGCTTAACAATTCCCTGATATCCAGACCTACCACATAATACATTAAAAAATTGTAGGGCATGACCCTCCCTGCGTAAACTCTCACGAGCAGCAGCTTTTTTTTTAAGTGTTTCTGATTTTAGTTCCTGTAGGCCCCTACAACAGAGTTTTAATATACCATATTTTTGGACCATAAGACACAAAAAAGTGGTAAAATATTTAAATAACAACATAATATTTCACCATGCAAATGTAAACAGAACTCAACAGCAGCATTAACAACCGTTATTCCTCCCAAATGGGGGGGGGCACGGGCAGTGCGTCTTATAGTCTGAAAATACAGTACTTTTGCCTGTATTTCTTGATTTATTTTAAATCCTAATGAATAATTTAGCACAATTACCTACCTACTCTGCTGCTTTCTTGAACACCTCAACTTTTCTTTATTACTATTTAGTGTTTCTAGACATAATCTGTACCATATTTTCTGTCTAGCAAACTTAGTATCTGATGAGTTTCTAGAATGTAAAATAAGAAATCTGTATTTTTTTACTCTCCTAAATTCTATCAGTTATATATTTTTCATAATCTAGAGATGGATTTTTCAAACTCAAAATAAATTAATAGAATTTTCATTACTTAATATGCAAATGTTACACACTTAAGTCACTAGGGTGACTGGAACCAGGGCGAGGGCCTTGTCACCCTAGGTCACCGCAGAGATGACAGGAGGAGATGGGCTCTGTTTCTTGAGCTCTTTATATTGCTCCACTTCGCATCTTATTGGGCTCTGCCATAGATGGGGGTCACACTGATTTTACAAAGTAAAATTTATTTCAGTCAATAAAACCAAAGTAGACGAAGGAACTCTAAACAGACCGGTTAACATTTTAATCCATTTCCTTCCAGTATTTAATGTAAAGATATTTTTCCATGTTTGTTCTTAACCATCATTTTAAAATTTATAGGTTTCGAGGCCAAATGGTCAACCTGGAAGTCCCTAAGGAGAATACAGGAGCCTTCACAAGAGTAATGGCAACGTAAGTGAGCGTGTTCTCCACTCCCAGAGATCCTCACTTGCTGAGAGAGCTGTCTTTAAAACAGAACACCTCTTCCTTTTCTGTAGAGCTGGGAAAAAAGGACAGTGCATCAGATGGGTCTCTTTGTGAGGGGACATTGGACCTCAGAAAAATTTATCCAAATTTTTAAAAAGCTACCTAGTTTTTTCTAATAAAGGTCATAATTTCTGAAATTGGTATTTATCCAGCAAGAGATAGAGGCTGCACTGCGTTTTTCCGTGAAAAATCGGCTGGGTTAGACCTGCACTGTCCTATCTGCTCAGGCAAGTGTGGCTCCTAGTTTGGCTAAGGAATGGAATTTTAATTTCAGTCTACATTTTACAAACCGGCACTTAACTTCTGTTATTGGCAAAATTCTGAGTAAGTTTAGAATGATGTGGCTACTAATTCAACTAAACTTTTAAAAAGATTTTATTTTATATTTTTAGACAGAGGGGAAGGGAGGGAGAAAGAGAGGTAGAGGAACATGAATGTGTGGTTGCCTCTTGTGTGCCCTCTACTGGGGACCTGGCCTGCAACCCAGGCATGTGCCCTGGCTGAGAATCAAACTGGTAACCCCTTGGCTCACAGCTGGCACTTAATTCATTCAGTCAACCATCCAGGGCTATTCAACTAAATTTTATAAAATCTAAATAGAGATCAAAAAATTACTGCCTGAATTGAGGTGTGGTTTAGGGATAAAATACATACCAGATTTCCAAGACTTGGTACAACAACAAAAGAATGTAAAATATCTCACTAAGAGTCTTTTATATGAATTACATGTTGAAGTGATAATATTTTATTAGGATAAATGTCATCTGTACTTTTTTTAACTTCTCTTGATGTGGCTACTGGCATACTTAAAATTAACACATGTGGCTCCCATTTCTATTGGAGAGCGCTGGTTAACTTATTTTATAAAATGTTCCTTAGGAAATAATCTTAAATAATTTCTTTCTCATGAACCAATCATATGTCAGAAAAGTGCTTTGTAAATGTTATCATGGTTAATCCTTATCATAACCCAGAACATAGGGGTTACCACCATTTTATAGATGAGAAAATTGAAGCCCAGAGTGGTTAAGTGACTTGGCCAATGTCACACAGCAGAGGTGGACACATCTATCTTTTCTCTTATTATACCAATCTGCTGCTTCTCTAAAAAAAAAAAAATTGGGCTGACTAGACCGATATTTGTCAAGACTCTCTTGAGATGAAAGGTGCTAAACAAACACTGAATGCACTTATGAAAAATAATGCCACAGGTAATTAATCAAGCTAAATAAAAATGATATTGCAGTATTACTATTGTGAAGGATTACTTGTCTGGACCTTGCTTATTTCACCTCCAATTAAAGGTAGAAATAGAGGTAGTATCAACCCTTACAAGGGATGGAGTGCAGCAGAACTCTAGTGCTATGTAAACTCAGAGTCCAACTTTGCACTCAACGGAGGTGGATTGACCTTCTCTAATCAAGAGAGACTACAAAAATACTTTTGAGCTGCATTGTCTTTCTCTTACAGAATCTATCAACTACAGTAAGACCTCACTTATTATTGCCAATAGGTTCTGTGCCTTGAAGCAAAGGGATGTGTAACAAAACCAATTTTACCACAGGCTAATTGATATAAGTAAGAGTTATTGGAGCACCTGCTACATCTGACTTTAGCCACAACCCAGTCATCCATTTAAGGAAAATACCTCTAAGTGTTAAATCTACGTGCAGACTATAGCATAATAGAACCTAGCCCGAGGCTCTAAAGATAAGAGACTGATTGGCTATCTGGAGAGTTTCTGACCGTGGAAGGAATGAATCAGGGGGATTAAATATATAACTCATTGGCATGACCTTCACAGCAGTCCTTGACTGGCCACTGCCAGTTAAAAAGCATGAAGAAAGCCTCTCAAATGGCCATTTTTATTTGCTTGTGTCTGAGCCATCTTTTCCAAAGAGAATTTTATTTGGTTTATAAACTTTCCTTAGCCAAGATGGCATCCACTTTTTCACATATGGTGGTAGAGATGGTGCAAATAGCAGTCAAGAGTTTGAATGGGAGTCAAACCCAGGGTGACGTGCGAGGGTTCTGTCTACAAGAGGCTGTCTTACCTCAGCCCATCCCTGCATTCGGTACAGTTGTGGGATTCAGTACACGTCTTGCAATTTTCACTGCATTTCCGACAAAGATTTTTCTCTGTTTAAAAAAAAAAAAAAGTAACGAGGTTATTATAAAATCATTTGGTACATTGGATTCTATAAAATTTTGGGAAGCTATTTTAGTGTTTGCTAATAATGTCTACTGTAGTACACATGGCCCTGGGCAGACACAGCAGGAAAAGCCCCACAGTCAACACTGACAATCGCTCCTCAGCAATCAAATGCAGGTGGGAACTGCAGCAGGGGCAGTGCTCAGGCAGGGGAACTGCGCCCACTTCATTCTTAGTTGAATAGTTTATTGGCTATTCCCATTCTCTCTCCCAAGCAGGGTTTCCTAACCTCTGCCAATGAAAATCCCACCGATGAAGGCGGGGCAGTGCTGCTGTGTCAGGGATGAGAAGCAATGCCTGTGGCTGTGGAAAGGAATGACAGGCCCCCCCATCCTGCCCCGCACTCACGGCTGGGGACCCCTCCGAGGAGCTCTGCTGTAAAAGGAGACCCACATTTAAGAATGCACGGTAAGGGTTACTTCTTGCATTGTCTAGAATAGTGTCTTGTCTTTATAGTGGCTGGGAAATATATGTAAGTATTATATTTCAGTAATATCTGTATTCTGGAGATAGCAATGTATTTGACTGAACAAATATATTGTGAATACTGGCTTTCCTGTGTAATACCAAACACGCCCCCCCGGCCCCCCATTAGGGAAAAACTGGAGAATGCATGATTGCTTTGTGGTGAAAAATGGTGATTTGTTCTAAGTAAGGCCTTTTACCTTAGGTGAAATTTTTCTGGAGAGTTGATACCTTCTCTGAGATATAAGTACATTATAACCACATGTATGTATAGAACTGACTATTCATAGGCTTCTCCTCTTATCTGTACTCAAAATGTTGGGGTTCTCCAGGTTCCACAGAGAAACACCGCTTTAACGATCTCTGTAAGGACCTCCTGGAGGTCCAGCTTCTTTCTCAAGCCTGACCTCTCGACATGAAATATTAAGTCATTCACAACCTTCTGGTAATTACCACATGCCCCATCCCACCCTGCACTGTATCACTGAGGATACTGAACAGGGCATGGGACCTGGACTTGTGCTCTGCTTTTAGGATTTCCTGTGGGCAAGTTCAGGGTCTTTCCTTTTTCCACTTATGAAATATTAAGTGCATATTAGAATAATGCCTGCATCTCAGCTTGTCTTGCAGACTTAATGAAATTATTCAAGGGAACTGTATGAAACTTAAAGCACTGTAAATGTGTTAGCAGTAATTGTTAGGAACCACGATCACATGTGATTACTAAGCTCTATGTGAGTGGGCAACTGAAAGATGAAGCTGTCACAAAAGTTACACTGGAGAGAGATGCACAGCCCACTCTTATCAGCAAAGTAACTGAACAGCTGTCCTTAGTTATCACCCTGCCAGGTTCTGGAAGAACTGACTCATCTGGATCCTGTCATATACCGTCTAGAACAAAATTTCTTTTTCAAAGTTTAGACTCCTTAGTAGCATCTGACCCCCACCCCCCCCAAATTTCTGTGGATCTCTTATTCCCTCTCCACACTCCCACTTTCTCCATCAAGTCATAGCTCATGTTCCAAAGTCTAGAAACAAGAAGCACTGCAGGGGAATTCCCACCACTGCTCCGAATGCTAAGCTCACACAGCTTAACCCCATCTACCACAGAGAAACGTCTGCCCTTGAATCAAGGGAGAATTTGACTTGTTAAAAAGCCAGGGTATTCACTTCGGTATTCATGCCTGATTTTTAAATACACAATTCTTATGGCTTTACACTTGGGTTTTTTCTTTTGTAGGTTGTGCAGAAACGTGACATTTTACTGTCATCGTGTGCCATGGTTTGATCTTTTGTTCAGACAAATGACCGAGAATTCTGAAATACAACAAAATTCTGCAGCCCTTTTCAGAGGCGTACCAGAGTGCTAACAGACAGGCATTCCCAAGGACTATTTGATTTTCTAAAGAGCGTCCTTTTCTCTGTTTAGTAATGATGGTTAATTAGTCCGCAAACTGTGAAGTACATGTTAAAGATTTTTCTTTGGTAAACTTGTAAATGCTATATGTTCATTTGAAAAAAGAACCCCAAAATTCTAGTACTGATTGCCACATTGGAAATTATTTGCTTACAACTCAGCAAATGGATTTCATTTTGCCTTCCCCAGTGGACTAAATACCTGATAGTCTCTGAACCCATTTGTTACCTTGCAGGTTCCCTCACTGGTGGGTTAAGTAAGTGTTTGGCATGCGTCCATTCTACATTTACATGAAGGTCGTATTTTCAAACTCTTTGAAAAGCAGACTTGGATGGCACACTGGCCGGGTTCCTTTGGTTAGTGTGCAGAATAGAACAGGCCTGGTTGCTGCCTTCTGAAAGCCTGCTTGGAAGGGTGGGAACTTGGTTTCAGGAGGGTCTCCACCAACCTAACAGATAAGAGTGGCTCCTGATGCCTAAACCGTTTGTGTCAACAGCACGGTTTACACCGCACACCTGCTTTCTTTCCAGGAGTCCAGGGTTTTGGTAAGGGCTGGGCACAGGGTGCCTTCGTGACCACACCACGGTAACGGCCACGGGCACTGAGTCCCTGTGGAGGCTCCCTGCGGACTACATTTCACATATGGTCACAGACTGTCACTGGGGAAAGTCCCCTGCAGGGAGAAGTCTTAGAAACTCAGGTCTAGTTTCCAATGGACTTTGTCCTGTGAGCCTTTTCCTGTAGTTAATCATAACCGAATACGCAAGCACAACTATATGGTGAGTCCTAGCAAGTCAATAAATCTGGAAAAGGGCTTCAAGACACCCAGACAGAGTTAGCGACAGGCCTTTTTACATGCACTCTTTTTTACAAAACAATTCTAAATTGTTCTTTAAAAAATTTTTTTGACTAGATCCGGGTTGATGTCCAGCAAGGCGTAGATTTCATGGAGGAAGAATAGTCCTCCCCAGGTCACTCAAATGAAAACCTTCCATCTGTTCCCTAAAACCCAGACATTTGAAATCAACTCACTTGTGTCCTGATACGATCCGTCAGGGCAGTGAGTAACACAGCTGTTGGTTTCCTCGTTCAGGAAGTACCCGTGTTTACAGGACAGGCACTGGTCCCCGTGGCTGCCGAAGCAGGCCTCGCAGTTGGGAGCGCACTTCCTGCACCGCTTCTTGTCGGCGTGGTAGTGGCCAGAGGGGCAGCTGGAGACACAGATCCTGTGTGGTGGCACAAGGGAAAGAAGGGCGGCGTCACCCGCGACCCAGTCTTCAGCATTCTCTTGTAGTAGTGCTGAACACCTCAGTCCCCAAACCCTTTCTAAACAGGATGGTAACACCACAGGTGAATGGCCAAATTCTGTCGGTTAACGCTTCTTCCTGTGCAGGGTGCTGAGGCAGCAACGCAGTTACGAATACCAAGCCCACCAACTAAGGTGTGTCTCAATCCAAACCACTTTCCAGTTCAGTTCTACCTTTTTAAAGGGGACAATGGTTAGAGATTGAATCTCAAGGGAAAGTAGTGAGAACCATTATTTTATGCAAAAAGGTCACTAATAAGGGGTTACTTCTGTTTTTGTGTGCTTGGTGGTAGTGGTTATATGCTGTTGTCTAAATATAAATATATTTGAATTTCTGTTTATGATAAACGAAGTTATTTTTTCAAAGTTTATTCATTTAACAAATATTTACTAAGTACCAATTAAATGGCAGGCATTTTGCTAGTAAGTCGAGGAGACAATAGAGGTGCTGAGTAGCCAAGGGCCTCTGCTTTAAGGAATTTAAATTCCAGCAGGGATGTAAACAGGACTTGGAACATGCCTGTGTCTGTCCGGGTGGCTGGAGTATGAAGCCACCACAAGCCAGCTCCCTACAGTGAGTTTTCACCTGAAGGAGGGAGGAGGTGGCAGGGGTGTGAGTCACAGCTGGACAGCATGGCCCCTAACGGGACAGTCACTGTGTCATGGCCCTACCTGTAGACAGGCATTGCACAGCTTGAGGCAGAAGCCAGGGGCACAGGGTCAGACTAGGTCAGTCTCAGTGCCCAGAGCAGGAAAGTGAGGAGGAGCAGGGAAGACTAACACCTTTGCACATTGAGGCCGGCACCTGGGAGAATGTGGGGAAGCATCCGTTTGGCCCACACGCTGCATTGCCACAAAGGGAAAAAGCAGCGCCCGTCAAACATCAGCAGGGTGGAACAGAATGGAGGGGAAGACCTGGTACTTGTGTACCTAGTCCCTCCCCACCATCCTTCCAAATGTGAGAAAAGACACTGGCAGGTTTCACAGCATGTGTGTATTACGTTCTGTCGGGGCAGCGCTGACTCATGGCCACCCTGTGAATGAGCGATGTCTACAGCGTCCTGTCCTCAGCAGCCCTGTGCAGCTCCTGTGGACCCCTGCCTATGACTTCCTTTATGGCTGCAGTCCATCTCCTACGTGGTCTTCCTCTTTTCCTGCTGCTTTCTATTTCTCTTCCCAGCATTTGTCTTTTCCCCAGTATTTATCTTTTCCTAAGAACTGAGCCTCTTCACGAGGTACCCAAAGGAGGACAGCTTTGCCTCCAGTGATATTTCAGGCTTAATTTGCTCGAGGACCCACTGTTCACCTTCCTGGTGGTGCAGGGAACCTGTAGAACTCTCCCCCAGTGCCATAGATCAAATGAATGGATTCTTTTCCCCAGATATGTAATTTTTACACACACTCTCAGTGCTCTTAGGGCCTGGTGGGGGGAACGTCGGAATGCCTGGCCCGCAGTGACCCTGCGGGAACTCCTGGGGTCTGCTGTGGGGGGTGTGACTTGGCCTCCCTCTTACCTCGTGTTGTTTTTCAGCTTGTAGTAGTAGTGCAAACAGTCATTGCAGTGGTCAGGTCCTGGCCCATCACAGCCGACCTCACTGCACTCAGGATCACAGGGACCTTTACAAAAGAAATGAGAACAACACTTAGAAGAATGATTTTAAATAGGTTGGCTTTACCTTGAATTTGGAATAAGATTTTTTTCTTATGCAGGGAGAGTTTCTTTGAGATGGAGGAATAATGTTCACCGTGGCTATAAGCTCTGAGTCAAACTCCTGACTTTTGGGGGGAAAACCTCAATTACCGAAGTATCAAGAATATAAATCTGAGTCATAGCCTGGTCCTCAGAGCACATATGGCTGCCTTGTGGGAGATAACAGATATTTCAGAATTCAACTGAACAATGCCACTGTAGTAAAGAAGAAGAAAACAACGGCAGTTAAACATGCATAATGATAAAAATGTTGGATTTATGGAAAAACGAGAAGTTGAGCTGTTGACAGAAAAGAAAAAGAAAGTTATTATTCAATGCTTGGACCAGATTGCCTGTCTGTTCCAAGGTCATTAAAGCCACTGAATACCTCTGAGATACTGTAGCCAGCAAGAAACAGCATTATGGCATGAGCTGTTCAGCATCCAGTCTTGGATTACAAAGCAGGTACTTCAGGCACAGATAATAGATTTAAAATTGTATCCTATCCACAGGCCAACAGGCAACTCAACAAAAGAACACTACACATAAATTTCAAAAGTGTGATCAAGCTTAAAGAATTCCAGACCTGGGAAGAAGATTCCTAATCTCTCTTGTTACATATTCTTTGGTATAGAACTAGAGAGAATGCGTAGTTAGAAAATAGTTCCAGAAAGATGGAACTATTTGGTGATTGATGAAAAGCTTTCTAATGACAGGAGAGTTATAGACATTTTGCTCTATTGAACTAGCTCCCCTTTTCCTTGTTCTTCATACTTTGGGACATTTGGCCTCATAATCTTCAAGTCCTTTCCCATAGAAAATTCATAGGACTTTAACTAGCAATAAACATATTGCATGAAATGTACAAACAGTATGTCAGAAATGTTTTCAACCACACTTATTTTCATCAAAGGGACTGACTGTTGAAACTTGGTCTCCTTTAGTCATTATGGGACTATGTTCTACAATTACTGAGTTATGAGAACATGAAATAGTAAAACAGGGGGGAGAATGACTCAGAGAAAAATCTAGTAGTCAACACCCTCATTTTACAGGTGAAAGAACAGATTTCCCAAGTGTTACAACGGCTTTCCCAGCTAGAAGCATTGGGGCCAACATCCAACCTGATGTTTGGTCCTGGTCTCTTACTTAGAGAAAATCATCTACTAGAGATGAGTCGTTTTGAAGTGCTGTGAACTTGAGATATATTTCTGATTAACTGTAAGAGTCATTTGATGGATTATCTCTATTCTTCCAAAAGCTTAAAATGGATCTCTAAACTGAATTCTATAGCTAGTACCACGAGGGACAGTTTAGCTGTCTGCTGTGGAAGGCGGAAGTTCAGCCAGCTCTGGGTGCCCCAGTCCCTGGCACTCGATGGCACAGCACAGGCATCGGTTACAGCAATGCCATCTGTGCCTCCAGACAGCCCGACCTCTTTATCAAGGTAACAGCACAGCTCCAGAGGCCAGGGTCATGAGTAGCCTTAAAATTTCACCAGGGATTTCTAGAATTAACTCCCCTGCTCCCCCCAAAACACTTGTTCATATGTGCCAAAGGGCTCTGTGTGGTTAGTTCGCATGCTGTGCTGTTTCTTTTAGAATTTTAAACTGTCCCAGATGTCAATTAGCATTTTAGTTGCAGGGTAATATTGGAATAATTGTTTTTATTCTCTCATCTGACAAGTGCCAAAGTGGACATTCTGAAGATGCAATGAGAAAAACCACAAAGATTTATAACTGTTCAGAATTTTAACATTACCAAAATTTGAAATGGAAGCACATCCCATAAGGCACAGGGTAATAGGTTACTATAAGCTCCATTTATGTTTTTGGATGTACTTTCTCCTGTCAGAGAAGATAAAATGAATATGAACAGTAGTATTACAAGCTGTAAGCAAAATAAAACAAACTCTGGTACAATCTAGCTCTGTCTGGTTAGTTCAATTGTACTGAATGATCCGAGATCATTATTGATTCTGGGATACCACCTATTTAAAACAGAAGGAACTACATCCATATGTAAGATATTCTGTTAAGGTGCTTCGCAAAGTACATTTAGCTTCAGTATCTAGAAAAAGAATTTGAGACAGCTGCAGGAAAGATATATTTATCCTCTAAAGGTATATGAAACTTCTGTTTACATCGTTTCTGCATTAGAAGAAGTTTTTTTCATTAAGTGTTATGTATCATATCCCAGGAGGATCGAATGCTCCTGCACTGGTAGCCAGCACGACAAGAGAAGAGTCAGAACTACATTGGGAAGGAGAATAAAAACTGCAGATACTATGGCTGCAGTACCTCAACTGTCGCAGAAAATAAACTCAAACCTATAAATTAGTAAGAGTTCAGCAAAATGGTCATACAGATAGAAAATATGGAATATTTTCCACTACAATAGCAATGAGACCAAAAATAGGAATAACACTAACAAGAAAAATACTATATAAAATTAAAAGATTTCATTAAAATGGGGCATGGGCTATGTTTTGGATGAAAAGAGTGTATATTGTAATTCTTCCATTACATTGCATGTAAATTCAAATTAAATTCCAGTGGGATTTATAAAGGGGAACTTAAGAATGTCTGTGCAAACAAGCAGCACATGTTCAATAGGACATTAAATATGTATCATGAAATGAGAAACTAAGACAGTGTGGGTACTACTGGTCTAAGAATTATCAGACTGATAAATCAGAAAACGTGGTGCCAGAAGAGACCCTGGTGTGAGAATTTAACTGTATTGATATAAAGGAAAGGTCCTAAACTAAACTACTAAAAAAGGAAAGTAACTCAGTGATGTTAGTCTGTTTATAAAATACAGAACTTCATTTTACACTACATATCATAAACCAAAGTTCTAGATGAATGGCTCAACATAAAAATTGAGATTACAAAAAAAATGCACGTGAATATTTAGTTGATTTTAAAGGATAAAACTTCAGTTAAAATCATGTTATTATCTGAAAATATAAATCCTGCCCTCCAATTTTCTATCAATATGACCATTTTTCTGTTAAAACATAACACAAAACAAAAACCAAATTTCAGAAATAAGTG